TGGACTTGGAAAATTCTTTTATTCCTAAACACCACTAAGCGTCCTCTACGTGTCCACGATATCTTTATCCCCAAACACTGCTATATAACGCCAATATCATAAGTAGAATGTCAATACATATATACACCAATAATTACCTCACTAACAACGACAAATAATTACCTCACGAACAAGACGTTCTTCATTAACTATCTTGAGACTCCTTCCCTTTTCCCTAAAACATATGAGTACAATAAGCTCAGTATAGTTTAATTCATTTAAATATAGGAATTCTGTTGGAGTTGTAGATATACTCGTTAGATTTTGTTATAAACAAAACACTCATGTTGTCGGTCCAACATTTGTATGTAACGGCCCGACTTTTTGAGACTTTAAACTTCTAAAGGACGTTACCACATATATGCTTTCAATATTTTAAAAGTTGTTTAAAGCTGAATGATAATAAATAAAACAAATACAATATCATAACATAACCTTATAAAATAAAATAAAAACTTTATTTGGGATCCCATAAATAGATTACATAAAACATAACATTAAAATAGATGACTCTAAATACAATAAATAAATAAAATAATAAAACATGAAACTAATGCGGAAACGAAAACCCATGGCACTGTCTGCATACATCCTCATCACACAACTTGTTCGTCTTTTATTATTCCCTAGAAAAAGATAAGGGGAAATGGATAAGTATTAAAAATACCGAGTAAGTAACCTAACTAACGGGGTCACATATGCATACACATACAACATAAATATGTGGGACCTAAATATTTATTCAGTCAAATTTTTTTCTTTTTCTTTTTGTTTCCTTTCCTTTTGGTCAAAGTGAGCAATTAACTCAGCCCTACACAGACGATACCAACTCCATTATGGTACACAGGTTGGTTTTCTAGTAGTTGGCAGCCAGTCAGCAGAGCCAAGCCTCATCTACTTAGTCCTCGGTTTCAGTCTTAGTCTATGCATTACAATAGTCTATGCATTACAGAGTCACTTACCTCAATAGTGATCTAAAATAAATGTTGGTTCAGTCTATGAAATTGACTGGTCAGTCAGATTGACGTTGGATGCGTGTGTACGAGGGAGGAGAAAATAAAACAGTTTTGCTAGAGGGAAAATTGAGAGGTAGGAAAGGGAAAAACTTATGATAACTTAACGATATAACCCACGTTTGTGATATTCACTTTTAACTAATTGTAAGCCCAACCCACCTTTTATTCATTTTTTTTTTCTTTTTTTTTCTTTCCTTGTATTTTTTTAAGTAGTTTTTTTTTCAATAAATTATATATTTTTTTTTCTTAATCTACTTTCTCTAGTCCAAACTTATCTGATAAATATTATTGTTTATTAGAAAGAAAAGAAGAAAGAACAAAAAGATCAAATTAGAAAAAAATCTCTATTGTTAAAGAAAATTTAAAAAACAAAAATAATTTTCTAGTTTATGCATCTAAACTACTAAAATATTATATAAAAAAAAATATACAGGGTGTTACAATCTACCCACCTTAAAGAACTTTCGTCCTCGAAAGTTGCTAATTTACTAGATAGGGCAACATTCTTTGTTGCTATATCACATCGATAAAACTTAACTCCACAATTACAACTCTAACTTAAACTTAATTTACCAACAAAGCATATATAAAATAGTGAATCAAATCTTTAAACGTAGAAATATCAGGAGTAGAATCGTCAAGTAAAGCAACCGACCAACAAGTCTGTGATAAACGATGGATCAGTAAGCAGTGCAGTAGAATCGGGGGCTTGCAAAGGCAGAGAAGAGTCCATAGGAGTGGCAACAGGCTTGCAACCTAACAAACCAATATCCTCCAACAAATTCAAAGTGTAGTGACATCGAGACAAGGAAATTCGTGGAGAATTTTGGGCCAATTCCAAACCAAGAAAGAATTTTAAAGACCCAAGGTCCTTTAGCTTGAAACGTTAATGAAGCGAAGACTTCAACTCATCAATTAAGGAGGGAGAAGCACCCGTAATGATAATGTCACTGACATAAACAAATAAGGCAGAAAAAGAGGATCCACTTCCTCGAATCAAAAGAGAATAATTAGATTTGGATGGTAAGAAACCAAGAGATATAAAGGCCTCATAAAACTTAGCAAACCATTGCTGTCAAGCCTGTTTTGGGCCATATATTGACTTTCGAAGCTAGGAAACCAAACGCTCCCCCTTACGAGTAACAAAAATGGAAGGTTTGTATCGGAAAGGCATGTCGATGTAAACTTCCTCAAAAAGCTCACCATGAAGAAAAACATTATTCACATCTAATTGAATAAGAGGCTAATGACAAGAGAGCCCAAGCGTGAGAAGATCTTTAACAGTCACAAATTTTGCAACCGGGAGAAATTCACAAGAAAATCAAGACGTTCTTGTTGAGTGTAGCCCTTAGCTACTGAGCAAGCCTTAACTGCTCAATACTCCCATCTGAACGATGCTTTACTTTGTAAATCCAGCAACAACCAACTATATGATGACCATGTGTAAGAGACACAACATCCCGTGTTTTATTGGATTCCATGGCCTCTAGCTCAGTTGTCATGGCATCTCTCCAATGTGAATGGCATACAACTTTGTGATAAAATTGGGGCTCCTCAACAGATGATATACCAACAGTCAAAGTAAACTGAGACCTGGATAATCAGTAGTAAGAAACATAATTTTTAATGAGATGTTTGTTAAACCGTAAGGAGGGAACATCACCATAAAGGAAAGCATAATGGTAGTCATGCAAGTAAGATGGTGCATTTGAGGGGCGAGTAGAACGCCTGTGAGGTGCAGTAATAACATCACCATAATGGTAGTCATGTAAGTAAGCTGCCCCTCTCTCTTCCCGACCTTTTTGACTTCAAAAAAAAAGAAAAAAAAACTGTCTGTTAAACCGACAAACCAACCGACTTAACAGATCGGTCGGCTGATCAGCGCCAATCTGTAGAGGGAAACCCTCGATTTCGGCATCGGGGTCAGCCAAAAACTGACCCCGATCGACTGATGATCAGCCCTAGGTGGACCTAGGGATGAGCATGCAAACCTAAAAAATTGAGCAACCAACGAAACTGAAAGAAAAGAGGTCGGCCGGTCGGTTTTAGCAGTGGTCACTTCGTGGTCGATTATTGGGGTTTCTTCTTTTCGTGCTCTTCTTCACTCTCTCTTGTTCCTTCTTCTCGTGCTCTTCTTTCACTCTC